TATCAAACCAGAATAACTTGATATCGATAAACATGATATAAATCTTGTAAAAATTAGCTTGATTTGGTTACTACACTTAGTAGAATCTAAAGAATATTCATTTAACGTAATATTTAACCTAGTCTATAATTGGCAAAACGGGATTAATAGAAGTTTTGATGTCAACAAACATGACTTAAAGCTGCTTAACTTTAACCTAATGGAGATTATTTGGGTCGGTTTTTCGGATTAAAAGCAGAAATTCCGAGATACTAGACCTAGTAGAATCTGAAGAATATTTATTATCGTAATATTTATCCCAGCCTAAAAGTGGCAAACCGGGGTAAATAGTAGTTTTGAAGTCGAAAAACGCAATACCGGTATATAACTTGTGAAAATTAGCTTAATGGAGGTATTACAGATCGAGTTTTCGTATTAAAAACAGAAATTCCGAGCTATTACACCTAGTAGAATCTAAAGAATATTCATTTATCTTAATATTTATTCCTAGTCTAAAAGTTGCAAAAGAGTAATATGGGTGGTTCTGAAGTTTTTCATTTGTCGTATTGTAATAATATTTTTGCAGGAATTTAAATTTTGGTCTGTAGGCATGATGCTTATGCTTATGTGATCGCGAAAAAGAATAAGTCAGGAGTCTGTGAAGAGCTACCTTCATCGTGATTGCCTGATAAATGAATAATAAACGTTTTCCATTGCTTCTCTTGATTTGTTTAAGTAAAATTACATCCATATCCAGTTATTTGTTGAAAATTTACGTTCGTGGACACTATGTGTTGTTATGACATGATTTGTGTCCCTTGAGGGAATCCCGATAATTTTCCTTGTGTCGCTTTCGTTGATTGGCTGATTCGCGAGGATGAGTCAAAACGTTCAATTTTCTGATTGTCTGTTGGCTATCGTCTGCGGACTTGATCTTAGTTATTGTCTGCAAACCTTATTGTCTGCCCAGTTGATCTCGACAGAATATGGGATTGTCAGGATGTGGACAATCATCGTATCGTTGATATACAGGACCAAATCAGACCCCAAGCCGCATTTAAAGGGGCTTGGGGCCTCGCCTTTGAATTAACATCTCTCATTTTGCATGTCAAACAAGTGGTATCAAATGTAGGTCTCAGGCACCAGTTTGGATCATGGCTATGATGACCCCAATAACATTTCTGAGGACGATAATTTCGTTTGGAAAGATTTTCAGGTTTTTTTTTTTTAAATATAAATTTGACGCAGTCGTAAAACCCAAACAATATTCGAACAATTTCATAGATTCTATCATTTAATACTTAGCTCAGTGTTTCGCACTAACTATCTGTTTACACATTTTTAGTGTCTTGTAAATCGCGAGTATCCGGGGAAAATGACATAAATCGCTAGTAGCCTCCATGACCTAGTTTTAAATTTCCAATATAAACTGCCAATAAAACGTCAAAACTATACTCCAACTTTTTAGATATGAATCTTTATTAGCTGGAGGAGCCAAAGGAATCATGCAAACATTCATTTTTGTCGAGAACCTTCCAGTTTCCTTATTTAAATGTACAGTGACGTCACAGCATGTGCCCGTTTTTAACTTCCTATGATCTCAAAACGAGGTTGAATATTTTAGCATTCAAGTTTCAGTTTAGCATTTCATAGTGACTTTGAAAATCTGGAAAATTCTTCAAAATATTGACGATATTGAGTAATTTTGTAGGTAAATTGATAGAAAAACTTTATGGCCAACAAAATCCATCTTTTGGATTGTGAACATTTAATCGAATGCTTACAATTAGGTAGAAAAATATGAAGGGGTTTTCAACTTGCGGTTGCAGCGCGCTCTACTTCTACTTTGTTTGACTTTCATTTTCGTAATCATTTACTTTGGGTTTAGCATCCTATTAAGACGTCAGATTCTAACTTTTATTTCAATTTTATATCTTGTTTTATTTCGTTGTAGTCATGTTTCGTCAATGAAACAAGATGAAGAAGAAGGCCAGCTCATCAAGTGTCCAAACTTCTCTGGAAAAAATGGATTGTAAAACGATTGACCCAGAAACTTTCACTTTCAAGTTACCGGCGTCTGTCACAAATAGATCGTCAACTAGATCCTCATCAACAGCAAACAGCAAATTACTTGCACTGAGTGTTTATTTACTTCATACAACAGATGAATTTAAAGATCTGACATATAGGGTAATTGATTGTTTGATTATGAATCAGTGGCTGTCAGTGGCATTGATCATGAATAATTCAATTATTTAATTGAATCCAGAAACTTGGAAGTAGGAACTGATGATATATTTCAAATATGGGAGTGTCTTTCACGAAGTGTCACAAGCTTCATCAAAACATTCAAATTCAAGAGAGAAAGCTTGAAAATAAACTGCTGTAAAGAATATTTGACATAATATTTCAAAATTTATAAATCAAATCCCAGTGTAGTTGGAATACTTGTTTGTCATGCTGGATTAGAAAATTATGTTTCATAATAATGTGATCCTGAAATATACAAAGTTTTGTTCAATATGGAGTCTGTGTCCTGATGGACTTAAAATTATTATTGATGATGACTTGTTCTCTTAATACATTAATTGCTCCTCTTTGTATGACAATACAGTTTTTCTACTTTTTTTCTAGGTTACAAAGAATACAGATTCTGAAGAGAGCTTGGTTATTACACATGGTAGAAATCTTGGATTGTTGGGAGAAAATCTGGATCCTGTAACATTAACCTTGACAGAGAAGGGTATATGCTTTTTAAATGTTTTATTTCAACCAGCGGAGAAGTTTCATTTACTAGATAAAACATTGTTTGATGCTGGAGAGTTTATCAGTATCTTAAAGAGATTAACAACTAAAGATGGATATCTTTTTTGTCCTGGTATTGAAGATACTCAACCAGCATGTTTTGTAAAGAAATTAACATCTCATGTTCACCCTTTCTCACGTTATCAGTCCAGTGATTGTACTGTATGGTATAAAAATACTGAAGATATCAAAGATAAACTATTGGCTAGATGTAAACCTTGTAGAGATCTGTTTAAACACTTACAAACTCTCCCTAAGAAGGTTCCCAACAAATCTACAAAACCTGACAAGGAAAAGACTGAAAGCGTGTCCAGTAGTCCCAGAAGATCAAATAGAGGAAGAAAAAGAAAAGAGACAACTGTTTCTGATGAGGGTGAAATCAGAGAATCAAATAAGAACATTAATAACTCTAATGTTGAGGTTGACGAGGGTCCACCTACTAAAGTTGTAGTCAAAGTAGAATCTCTATCAGAATCCCCTAGTAAATCTGAGAAACCACAATCTCCTAGATCATCTCGACGTATCTCAGAAAAAGGTGTAACTTTCTGTAAATTGTGTATGTGTTTTCACAAGGATAAAGATGGTAAATGCCCAGCATTGGTAGCATCAAGTTTACCGGAACTAGTGAATGTTGAAACAGAAGCTGCAGAAGTCATTGAAAGTGTTGAACTCCCTCCAGATGCAAACGCTAGTAAAACCAAGTCATCACGTGGCAGACGAAAAGTAAAAACCCCAGTCAAGAGAAAATCAACTGAAGAAAATGAACCTGTTCGAGAAAATGAAGAAAATATAGAAAGTAATTTGATAATAGAAGAAGTTAATGTATCTGAAATGGATGTTGGAGCTCATGAAGAATTAGAATTTGTTGTTAAACAAGAATCAGATGATGATGTTGATGACCTACCACCTATAGCAAAGAAAAAACTGAAGAAAGGTCGAAAAGGCAGGAAATTAAAAGAAGAAGCAAATGAATCTTTAGATGAATTGGATGCAGGTGCATCAGCTTTGTTAGCCCTAAACAGAGGCAGAAAACGTCCAGAATCAAGCAGTCAATCTAGTAAGAAACCTGGTCGTCCGCGAGTTTTGGGTAATCAACATAGTGCACCATCTGGTATTGAAGCTCTACTAACAGCAGCAATGACAGCAGATAAAGATGATAAAGGAGGTAATAAAAGTGGTAAAAAGGTTGATAATCATTTACCAATTCCAAGAACTAAAAGAGATTCTCTTAATACACCATTCAAAGTTTTAATGGCTCAGATAGAATCAGATAAGTGTAAGTATATGTTATGATATGTAATAAGTAACAGTTTAACCACCATAGATTTTCACTTTGTATATTATGCTATATGCATATATACAAAATATAAAGTTCGGTTATATCAAATCAAACTCTCAATCAGCTCAAGCTACAGATTACAGTGTCTGCCTGCGTACGTATCATTGGTGGTCATCATTCAATTTTTCCCATTCACAATGTTAGACTGTAAAAAAAATGGTTATATAAAAACCTTCACAAATTGCACACTCTTCAGTCTGCAATTATTGCCCTTGACTTAGGAACAACGTGTCAAAATTTGTTTGTGAACACAATAGAGACTACAGTTTTCAACTGATTTTAATGAACTTAATGATTTTTGATGAACGTTTTTTGAGTTATAGCCCTTGACTTAGATAAAATGCTTCAAAATTTGTTCATGATCACAATAGAGACTACAGATTTCATATGATTTTCATGAAATGTGTTGTGATGATTTATATTGATGAATGAAATGAAATGAATGGTGTTTTAGGTCCCTTTTATTTATATTGATGAGGTCTTGGTCAAGTTTGAATTTTCAACGATTTCACTCTTAACAATTTTTGCCCTTGATATTAGAGCTGTGTGATTTAATGATTTGATGTATTTTGGTTATTGATATTGATTTGTGGAATTACTAAGCATAAATAACTGGCAGTAGATATATATAACATTGAATTCAAACTAATAAAATGTCTTTAACATGAGAAAATTTGGTACATTAGTCACTAAAGACTGTTTTATCATTTCTGACAGCTGCCAGTGGGCGTATGTTACCTTGCCTGGCAAGCTATCTTAATCTAGTTTGATTCATGCTTGATTCGATCTAACTTGTTTAATGCGGATGTAATGTCCTGAGGAAAATAAGTGTAGTCTATTAGATTTTATTCTTTTATTTGTAGATGCTGAAGGAGATGGAAGTAAAACTTGGAAATGTCCTGAATGTGGTGATCATTACAGTAGTAAAGCCAGTCTTAGACGCCATCTTCGAATTCATGATCTATATAGACCTTATTTTTGCCCAGTTTGTGACAAGACTTTTGTTCAGAAAATAACTTTAAAAGTTCATATGAGGTTACATTCTGGTGATAAGCCCCATGTTTGTAGTGTTTGTAATAGGTCTTTTGCCCAGAAGAGTAACATGGAAACCCATCTCAGACGTCATCTTGGTCAAAGACCTTACAAATGTAGTTTATGTAACAAAGGATTCAGTGATAAAGGTAGTTTGGGTGAACACAACAAAACACATACTGGAGAACAACCTTATGTATGTCCTATCTGTAAAAAAGCATTCAGTCAGAGAGCTAACATGAGGACACATATGAGACGACATAAAGATGATCGACCCTATGCCTGTAGTAAATGTAATAAAATGTTTAAGAATAAAGATGGTTATTGGAAACATATAACTGCTGTCCACAAAGATACAACACTTAAAGCTGATATTCCAAATCTTCAAACATTAGAATATTATAGACAGGCTTTAGATAAAGAACCATCTGATCCTGAGGATGAAGATTCAAAAGAAGAAGTTGAAATTGAGGAGATACCAGAAGAAGATCATGAGGAAGTTCTGATGCTGATTGATGAAAATGAGAGTGAAGAGACTCAAGATAGCAAGGAATCTGTTGTAGTTGAAACAATTGAAAATGAAGTTGTGTCCAATGCTGAAACGGAAGCAGCAGCTTCATCAATAACTGAAAAATCAACAGCATCACCACCAGTAAAAGAATCTCTAGAAACAAAAGAAATTGTTGTAAAAACTGAGAGTATCAAACCAACAACAGTGTCTACCACAACCACTACCACAAACTACTCAGCTATACTTAGTTCACTAACATCAAAAGTCTCAAATTCGCCAAAAATTCAACCTGGTAATGTTCCTCTAACATTTGTTAGAAACGGTAATCAATTCTCTTTTGTACGTCCCAGTACTATTTTTACTAGACCAGTTGCTGTAATGACAAAATCGGAAGTCAACAAGCCTTCAACAGAGCTGAAAGGGACTGGGCAAGTTCCTATTTCATCAGTTAGTTCAGTTAGCCCATCAATCATTATTCGTCCAGGATTGACAAGAACTCCAATCAGAGCTACTACTCCAGTTTTGCATCAAGCAACTTCTCTCAATCCAGCAGTTCCGTCTAGTCCTATAATAGCTCCTATAACCACATTGCTAAGTAAAGGAGTTGCTTCAGTGAATCCTTCTCCAATTGTTAAAGGAAATCCAGTTATAAGCAAGGTTGGTCCAGTAATTCAAACAGAGCGTGTAACAGTTTGTAAATCATCTCCACCAGAGGGTTATATATCAGTTAATTTGATTGGTAGTGATGGTAAACCAATGGGTTCAAGATACATGAATCCTAAAGATTTAGGACTGACTGTGAGTGTGGAAAAATCTAATGTCACCAAGTTTCAGCTTTCATCAATATCTGATGAGAAAAACATTGTAACCTCAACCATAGTCACTGATCCTTACAGTGGTAAAGCTGTCACAATTAAACCTAAAGATGTTTCTCCTTCAGCTACACCACAGTCTCTGGGAGCTGGTTCTGTTACTGTCATTCCTCAACACCCAGTCACACCTATGACCAATATTAAAATAGCTCCTAAATCAGTATTAACATCCTCAATAAGTTCATCTCCCCAAGCCAAAACTATTTTTGTGAATTCTACAGACGCAAATGTAGGTTCTAGAGCCGTGATACTTGACATGGCTTCCCAAAATCCAAGCCAATCTATGATTCCTGTTTCTTTACCATCTACTTCATTTTCTCAAAGCAAACCAACTCCTAAGAAATCCACATTAATCAAAACACCCACCACAAAAGCCAGTTTGAAATACTTAGTGAATGCATCAACATTGAAATCTGTAGCTGAGAAATGTAAGGCATCTGTTTTATTGAATGCAGCTTCCCAATCACCAACTGTTAAATCTTTACTGAAATCACCACCACTTTCTCATGCTGATATATCTCAAATTGAAGAAATCAAGAATTTACAGCAATCTACACAAGCTATTGAAGTAAATGACAAGACAGAAGTTGAAACAGCCATTTCACATATAACATCACCAGATGTAGCTACACAAAACACAACAACTGTTTCAGAGACTAAACCTCTGACAACTCAAAAGATCTATTTGATTAAGGATAGTGAATTTGAGAAGTTTATTTCAAGAGATAGTATCAGAGCTGCTGATGCTGTGTCAGATAACACTACTTCAGTTACTACTGTTATCAAAACAGAGAACAACCCAGGAGAAGAACAAGAGGAAGCTAAAACTGAATCTATTGAAGTTATGGTAGGTGGTAAAATAGAAAATGTCACAATACCATTAACATAACATACTGTCAGAATTTGCATGATCTGATATCTGTATTTACCTGTATTTATAATCTTCAAGGTAATTCATAATTGTAATAAATATGGGCACTGTTCAGTTAATTAAAGAGCATGGGTTAAACACTGCTATCCTACTTATTTTCTTCACCAAAGAACACCATACATGTGCTTCTTTACATATAAGGACACTTGAAAACTGAGAAAGAAAATAAATTCATTGTATTTGGTGATATAACACATATTAGTAAATAGTAATATCCCAAAATTGTGTCATTAATAAAACAAACTGTCAGTATCAGCATTTAGAATAGTACAGCCATAAAATGACATCAAAAATATGTTGATACTTTCACCATGTAAACAGTACTATTACAGTTGTTAAGTTAGTGGATACAAATTTAAATGTAAAATACTGTTATTGTTATATTACTTTGTTGAATTGTAAATACTATTGAGCATGGTACATATTATTGTTTGTTTATAAAGGAATGTACAAGGGGTACAATCTATTACTATCAATATCTATTTATGTTGTGAGTATAATTCCTTACATGGTAAATTTCACACATTAATTACTGTGACTTTGAAATAAATTTTTTAGAACCAAGCCCTGATTTCTTTGCAGAAATTGATATTAGACACTGTTAAATATTTTTTTTAGAAATCACAGACCAATTGAATTAAAAGAGCTACATCTTGTATATTCCTTTCGTGTTAATATTTGATGCCATCAGGTCTATTTAGTGCTTGTAAGTCTTGTGACAGTCATTGTTCATGTTTTATAGTGTAAAGCATCTTGACATTACAATATATTTGTATATTATGTTTTAAGCAGTGTAGTAGCAATAATTTTTTGCTTAAACTGAATTTTGTAAATAGCATCAAACCCTACAGAAGACAGCCAATCAAGCTTGATCCTGATGCAGTTTATCTCTTATGTTTAAAGTAGCTTAATATATTAATGTCTTTAAACATTGAACAACTTGAAAGTCAAATAGGGCCTCAACTATGTATTGTTTTCTGAACAAATGCATCTATATTTAAGTGTTCATGAATTCACAGGTTTTCAGAAAATGTCTATAAAAATTTGAATTTAACAAAATAAGTACTCCTGTAATCATGTTGCAACTTTATACTTCATGTCATTTCATTGTTTTTTGTATTAAAATTGAAATCTTTTTCTTTTTTGCATAGCTTCTAATTTATCTAAATTATACAGAGCCAGGGAATTTCCATTTGTCTTGGTATCCAAATTCGTCAGAACCGTCTCAAATGATAAACATAATAATGTATATTTCTTTAGCAGCCTAATTTTAAGGTGTAAATGCCAATCGGCCACCCTAATGCATAAAAGAATGAAAAAAGAGTATTCAACTAAAATGAACTCTGTTCCATGGGCCTCTAAAGAGAGTTATCATCTTTTCATGTGAGGTAAAAAATGAAGAATTTGTCAAAAAAAAAAACACCAAAAAAAAAATAAAAATAAATGCGTAGTCATAATTTATTCAGTAACTATTATAAAGAAGGCATCAATCAATATTTAGTTAAAGATAAAAACAATATATGTTATTTTATCACAGGTTCTTAATACATTAATAAATTTATAAATTATAAATAAAAAAATAAAAATAAAATGTTATATATGTATATACCTGATACTTCTATTTCTAAACAAAATAAATTACTCTGAATCTTAAACCTAACATAACAATACAATATAAACTAGAAATATTTCTATTTCAAAAGGAGCACAATCATTTAAACATTTTTTTTTATCCCATAAGGAGTTATTTTCAGCTATCCATATCACTTTTCAGAATGATATGCATGTTTAATTCATCTGTATATGTGAAACAAGCAAATGAAACAACAGTCTTATTATCTGGGTCATAATTAACATTCTGTGTAACATTCTTTCATGTGATATTTAACCGTAATGGTGTCATAGGTTCCTTACATGTTGAAATCAGACGTTTCCTTCTAAAAAGTGACACAGATAACTGAAATTGACAACTCAAAAGAGGACTAAATCCGTTTAATATCTATAGCACTAATCAAAAAAATATCAGGTTTTATTTATATTATAGTATTGACTTGTTTCTTAGAAAAATAAAAAAATCTTGAAACCTTAATCTTACTGTATGAGTTTCAAGTTACCAAACACTTAATTTCTAACATAAAATTTGGGTTATGACGTCATAAATTTTAAAGATTAATAATTCTCGACTCATGCACCACATTATTTTAATTATTAATTTAAAACATCTGAAAGCATGTCCTAAATATAATATAAACTTTGATAATTAAATTAATAATAGGATAATAACATTTAACAAGCTATAAAATTATTTAACACTAAGTAATGTTTGAAGGAATTCCTTATAACATATTTTACCAGTAAGATTAGAATCAAACTGAGAAAACAAATGATATAAGTCTTCCTCACTGCCATCTATATTACACTGTTTTAAACATTTCTTAAAATCTTCCACCTCTAAATAACCATCATTATTTGAATCTATTTTACGGAAAGCTCTTCTCAGATTTTGCCATTCTCTTAAAAGCTGAAAAAATTGAAAAAATTCTTAATTAATACAATGAGTCATACTATCTTGAATTTGGTCATTTATGAGAAAGGCTTTTCATTTATTGCCTTTGACTTTAACAAAATACGATTTAGTGAAACCATGTATTTTTCAGCAATGATTTGTGCCTTATTAATCAATAGTTATCACTAAAAAATTGACTTGTATGCAATTATTGTAGTTTAGGCTGCCATGAAATTTGCTGCTGTGTAGGATACTACTGTATAGTTTAAATGCTCTACAAATTTTAACAGCACTATATCTAGATTAAAACCAAGTTTACTAGTTTGATCAACATACATTTAGAATGAGAAACAGGTTCAAATTGTATTAGTTTTCTCTAATATCTAGTTTGTTATTTAGTTCTAACCTAACCATTTTTAACTAGAAAATTATTTTTTAATATAAAAACTGGGTTAAAACTGCCAACCATATGTCAAACCTATTCTAAGACCAAAAATAAAAACTTAAGATTCAGTAAGTTCAAATATATCTATAGGAAAATTTGAATTTCTTTGAAATACTATCAAATCTATTTCATAACCTAAATATATATATTCGGTTAAATTCTACAGTTTTCAAAACAAATTTTAATCATTTTGTAATAAGCTAAAGTGTTAATTTATGCTTTGATATTGTTTTATGTCAAACCTTTTGTCTCATATTATTCAGAGCTTTATCAACATTAAATTTATTATAGACTTCACTTTCTTGTGGCTGGAATAAGTAATTTTATCAAAAATATAAATTGGAAGACATCACTGTTTCAAGATAGATTGGAACACATCACTGTTTCAAGATAGATTGGAACACATCACTGTTTCAAGATAGATTGGAACACATCACTGTTTCAAGATAGATTGTGCAAAAATTAAAAATATTAGTATGACATTTACCTGTAAGCTATGTTTTGTATAGACAATATATTTTTCAGTCTATTGAGCTGTTGAATAAATTGAATTCCATTTCACAGGAATCAACTTTGCAATAAATAGAACAACTAAATTATACTAAAACAAGTTTGTGATTGCAAATTGTAATATATACTGATGGATATAGGCCTTTTGGCTGACTAATAGAGAATCTATAATTTCTTGCCAGCATCCATGCTTTTTTGTAATAATGGATAATTATGATGACATGAATAATAAAGAAAAATAGATTTACCTTCCTTACAAAATTTGGACTGATTTCAGTTGCCTCTTGAAAGAATTCAAAATCTGTGTTATTTGGGTAGAAAGCTTCTAAAAATGATATATAGTGGAATCTACCATTTCCGTGTAAATCAAATTGGTCTAATATTTCTTTCATTTCATCATTAGTTAAACCAAATTTTAGCTGCACCATTATTCCCTGTTTAAGAAAAATAACTTCAACCTGTACATAGTGTGGTAATTAAGGTCTGTTAATCTTGTTAACCTTGTGCTTCTGTTTGTAAAGGAGAACATCAGTGGCAGAGCCAAGTTTACGACCAAGTCGGGGTGAAATATCTGAGGTTGTCAAACCTATTCATGAGATTTTGCCTTTTTTGCCTACATCTTGCCCGAAAAACTTGTTTTTGGAACTGCAAGATGATATTTCCATGAATGACAATATAAACTCAAATAATATAACTTACCCTCATTTCCATGTAACCTATATTAGAATAACCATATTTATCTAATTTTACAAAGTTTTGCTGTAGTTTTTCCCAGTTTTTGGTGACCTAAAATACATTTTATACATGAATCATCTGTTGAAAATTATAACTATAAATAACACAACATTTAGGTCAGCAGGTTCTTTGTTCACACGTTGAAGGCTGCAATCCAGACTAAATGACTTTTTATTTCCTCTTGAATTCAAGTGTTTCCTTTCTTAATATCTAATGGGAAAAAAATTGTATTTCCTTTGATTACCAAGAAACAACTGGAGAAAAAAACAAAATTCTTGACAATTGAAAATCTGAGATATTCATACACAATTACAGAAGACAGTATTATGGTATCTGGAATATTAAAGATGGAAACTCACAAATGGCTGGATTTTTTTCATGATTTCTTTACGTTTTTGGAGTCTAGAGGTATCTGTTTGTAGTGGTAATGATTTGGCACTTTGTGGACGGTTAAAGTTTGGAGCTGATTGGGGTCGTTTCTGGCGGCTATCTCTGCGCTGTCTCTGTATTTGTCTGGCTCTGTCAATCATTTCATTATTATCATCTACAAAATAAACACGCTTGGGAATGAAATATATTAATAAGATTCATGCAATCAGACATGTTTCCTAGGAATGGACAGTACTGCTTAAAATATAAAATTATTCTTAACCGATGTAACAAGCAATTAGATTAAAAACGAGCAACTCAGATAAAATCATTTACCTGTAGCATATGGTGGTGCAGGTCCCCATGCTGTTCTATTACCAGTACAATTAAATTGTTGTATTAAAGCACTATAAGCTAACATTCCATCTGGAGCTAGTTTCATTGTTCCCCATAGTTGATCTAGTTCAGGCTGTTCTAATATCAAACCAGTTCTATACAAATATAAGAATATACTACAGTGTCAGTAGTTGATTGTCTATTGTGTCCACAAACTGGTTTTTAGGTCTCTAGATATGATACCAAAACACCTGTGGCTATAATGTTGGTAGATCTTAATCCAGATAGTGTATTTTATCTATAGTCAAAACTTTGTTATCAAAGTTATGTGTAAGTTAAAGATAACTAATATTTTGGAAGTAAAAAAAGGAGTAGACATGAAATTCCCTTTGTAAAACTGCCTTCTTTTCACACTCCATTGACATAGCCCCTCAAGAACAGGATAATGGAATTGGGTCTTCAGTGTAATTTTGTTGTTGAAGACATTTGGTAGGGTTCTCAGCACCCATGATTTTAGTGTGACTTAAAGTAGTTTTTGATCATCTCTACAGATCTCTGTTGAAATATTGTAGACAATGAATCAAATAAAATTTGACCTTATTAAACTTACAATCTTAATAAAGCACCAAACTGCCATTTTGTCATTCTTCCTGTCATTTTTCTATCCATATCTTTAAAATGCTAAAAATAATGAAATCTCTTATATCAATTTCAATGTAAATACCTCATTCCCTGAGTGCAATATTTAAATAAAAGTTTTAATCCCTGCTTTAATGGTAGCCTACTACTGACATACAATGCCCATCTTCATTAGCCAACATGGTGCAGAAAAGTAGGAAGTAAAAATCATTCATTTCATTTCTTTTCATTTCACTGGCGTACAATGAGACAAGCCTTTTGAATCAATTCTTATACTTACTTTATCAAAAGTATGGAATTTAGTTCTGAGAATTTCATCTATCTTTCTGTGGATCTGGAAATAGAAAGGAATAATTACAATTTCTAAACTATGTTGCTACAGAATAGTTGTGGTATATATTTATCTATAGTTTAAATTGTTAATTCATAAAATTATGTTACTTCTTACCTCATGTAATCTTCGAGTTTTTTCATCTGTATCATCTTTGTCTTTAACTTTCATCATATAGGATGCCATATGTCTTAATCTCTTAATTACATCATCTTCTTCTTTACTTTTCATTGTGGTTTGTTTTAAATATTTAGGTGACACTCCAAACTGTTCAGAACTCCATGATCTTGGTCTAAAAAAGTTGCATGATTTTAGTTTGTAAATATATGTACATTACCAAGCTGTCACTGGTTAAGCTTACTTTTATTCTATACATTTCCAAATTTTTTAACTGTTTGGATTGTTTTGATTCCTTCAAATGAAGAATAATTTTCTAGCTCAGAATACATGCATTTTGCTTAGATAATGTGATATATATATGGCTGAACAGATATTTTTTTCAAATGTCTGTTATAGATCAAAGGTATTATAGTTAGAAGAAAAACAACTTCAAAACTGACTTACTTCAGTTTGGATCATTTCGGATCTAAAAGTCACCAGAACTGAGAGTATTCAAAGCTGACAGCAGTCATATAGGTCATTTGACAGTCTTGTGATATTTACAGTTTAAAGATATAACCATTTTAGATATAAATGAGAATCAGATGAAAAAGTATGGTGACAAATTTATAGCTTTTAGAATATGACTAACTTACTCATTCTGAAATTTATCTAAGAAACGAGGATAAACAACTTCACCATTAGTTATATCTAAATCTTTCTGTAAATTTCTCCATTGTTGATCAGTGAGACTTCCTCCTAGGTTATTTTCTATCACTTTTCTAAATGAACCTTCGCTAATTCTACCCTCATTTGATGTATCACTTTGTCTGAAAAAATTAGTAAAACATTATTATGAGTTTTAAGAACAATGTTGTTTTGTTGATGTTGCCTTAAGAAACTGACTAAAATGCTGATTTGTGATCCAGGTTTGACATTTTGACAAAATATTATTGTATTTGAATAGTTGCAAATGCATTCTGTCTCATTCAAAACACCCATCTATTTCTATACTTCAAATATAATTTTGTAAGACTCATATTTAGAAAAACCCTAATATAATAGTTTTATGATTTCAATGACTTTAATCCTGTTTTTCGATGATCAGATTATTTGATCAATTAGCCAGTAATAGATGAGATCACCAACAGATATCTTAGTAGAAATCTTAAAGGTTTTATCTTTCCTGCAATTAAGACATTAAGACAAATTGTTAATTTCTAGTTTAAATAGTTTGTTATCAATAAAACTTATAAAGTTAAAATGATATAATATTTTACCTGAAACCATTCACTAGGTTCAGATAATCACCATGTAAATGTTCTACTACAGCTGATTCTATTTTCTCTATTTTCTCTATTTTATTGGTGTTATTTTTGACTGAGCTGGATCTCTGAACGCTATAAGAAGGATCATTAAAAAATTATAGCCTATCATGAAAACAAACTTTTGTTTTTATTTGAACTCGGTGGATGCATGCTGATTTTGTCAATGAAAACTCAAAATAATGGTTGTTAATAAGAAATCTTTCATATCAAGAGAACAAATAATGTGAAACTTACATTGTATTATTATTAGCTAAGATATCACCCAATATTTCATTATTTTCTCTATTCTGATATTTCATTAAGAAATCTTTATATCTAATCTGTCCTCTTACAGTTCTCACACCAACACTGAAATATATAGATAAAATGAAATATCATAATCTATTTTTTCAAACAAGATGGTCAAATCCTAACTTAGCTATTGCTTGACAATGAATTCTAAAGAAGATAAACTTCTTAAATATGTTTCCAGCAATAATTTAATAAAATGGTTTCATCAAATACATATTTATTTAGGTACTCAGTATTATTTCAAAAGAGTATACTTTAATATGAACAATATGAACTGAAATCAATACCAACCTTCTAAGGAACACCTCTAACTCAGTAGCTGCTATTGGGAATCCAAACTCTTTAAGAACTCTTCTGAAATCTATTTTAGATATCAGACCATCATCCAAATAATCAAATAACTGGAAGGCTTCTAACATAACACTGTATGGTTCCTCATACTGAAACAAAAATTTAGGCATAATAATATGAACAGATTTTTTCTAAATTTCTCCTCTGCAAGATCCCTTCAAATTTTTAGCTCATATGTATTAACACTTCCATATGGAAGACTTTACATATTCATAATATGTCATTGAAACAGGGAATTGTCCGAAATTGGGGGAATTAAATGATAAAAAATGATATTTAAATTTAAAGTGTTAAACTGAAAATGTTATCAGAAATTAATATTTACCTTAGAATAAAGAGTATTGAGAATATTTTCAGATTTGATTTCTTTCTGCTGTGTAGATTTTTGTTGCCGTGTGATTTTGACATTAGCTTTTTCTCTTGATGTTGGAACAGGAGGTTTTCTATTGTTTAATTTCTGCCGTCTTTGTTTAACCTTAGGGTCATTGGTATGTTCTTGTTTCATTTTAGTTTCTTGTTTTTCTTCCGAACTTTCATCTTCAGTTTCATAATTATAACTTGTCCGGACGACATCTTGTACTAAACCATTACATTCCTCGGTGGTCCATGATGTGACAATTTCAGCATTGTGTTTTTTACGAGAAGTATTTCGCTGACTATTTGATGTTGTTGTAGTTGTAGTTGTTATTTTGGGCTGACCAATTGGTGTCAATCCAATTATTTTATAAAACTCTTTTGTATAGACTCCCCCACAATTATCTCTGTCAAATCTAAAATCAAATATAAAGTCAACACAGTTATTTCTTTCAAATCTACATTAAATATAAACTCAACACAGTTATCTCTGTCAAATCTACATTAATAATAACCTAAACACAGGTATTTCTGTCAAATCTACATTAAATATAAACACAACACAGTTATCTTTGTCAATTCTACATTAAATATAAATTTAACACAGTTATTTTTGTCAAATCTACATCAAATATAAACTCAACACAGTTATCTCTGTCAAATATACATTAAATATAAACTCAACACAGTTATCTCTGTCAAATATACATTAAATATAAACTCAACACGGTTATTTCTGTCAAATAACATTAAATATAAACTCAACACAGTTATCTCTGTCAAATATACATTAAATATAAACCCAACACAGTTATCTTAGTCAATTCTACATTAAATATAGACTCAACACAGTTATTTCTGTCAAATATACATTAAATATAAACTCAACACAGTTATCTCTGTCAAATATACATTAAATATAAACTCAACACAGTTATCTTAGTCAATTCTACATTAAATATAATCTCAACCCAGTTATCTTAGTCAATTCTTTATTAAATATAAACTCAACCCAGTTATCTTAGTCAATTCTTCATTAAATATAAACTCCACAAAGTTATTTCTGTCAAATCTACATCAAATATAAACTCAACACAGTTATCTCTGTCAAATATACATTAAATATAAACTCAATACAGTTATCTCTGTCATATCTACATTAAATATAAACTCAACACAGTTATCTTAGTCAATTCTTCATTAAATATAAACTCAACAAATTTATTTCTGTCAAATCTACATCAAATATAAACTCAACACAGTTATCTCTGTCAAATATACATTAAATATAAACTCAATACAGTTATCTCTGTCAAATCTACATTAATTATAAACACAACACAGTTATCTTTGTCAATTCTACATTAAATATGAATTCAACACAGTTATCTCTGTCAAATATATATTAAATATAAACTCAACCCAGTTATCTCTGTCAAATCTACATTAATTATAACCTAAACACAGTTATTTCTGTCAAATATATATTAAATATAAACACAACACAGTAATCTCTGTCAAATTTACATTAAATATAAACACGGTTATCTCTGTCAAATCTACATCAAATTAAATTAAATTAATATTTATTAATTAATACATCTTGCTATACACCATAGTCAAAATCTGATACTGATATTTTTTAAATAATATAGATTACATCTTACCTAGACCATAGTTTCTCAAACTCTGTGTTAGTCAGATGTACTTCTAATTGAGCCAGAGCTTCTCTTAATTGTGGTGCTAAAATCATTCCTTCTTTAGCAAAACAGGCTGTTGGGAATATGTCTCTTATATTTACTTGACTGTGAAAGAAAATTTAAAACTTACTTTAAACAAACTGTCAATTAATTGAAATAATAATTATAACTTTATTATAAAATAGAATGAGAATATTTAGGTTTTAAGCAACATAATTTATTTAATTCATTTGTGACTAAAGTCTAAAGACTGTTTTGAACATAAGTCAAAACTTTTCTGTTTTAGTTCAGTGAAATTATGGTATCTTTGAAATTATCATTAAAACAAGAAGCTGTTCTTACCCAGTGTTCAGTTTGTCCCGTAACAGAGCAGCTACATAAGGTGCTGAATGATAGGGATATAAGTACATATTATCTAAGTTACGTAGATTATCTTCTGGATACATGGCACGGCGTAATTCCTGTGTTTCTAATTTCTGAGCTGGTATCACCCATTGTCTCTTAACTGTCTAAAATAGGAAATACATAATGCATTTTTTTCTGTTATCTGCTGCTAAAATATAAACTAATTATTAAACGAATATACATAAAATGTATAAATGAAACGATTCATACCTCATTATCTTGAAAACATTTGACAAATTCATTAAATGATATAAACTTATGATTCTCCAAATCTATTCTTTCTAGAAATCTTTCATATTGTTCTTTTGTAACATAACCACATAAGTTACATGTAACTCGATATAGTGCATCTCTGAAATAGAATATATTGTTTTAAAGAAAAAGAAAAGCAAGCATTCAATTTAAAACACATTTTCTTGCCCACACTTATAAGTGACACTTGCTCTACACTGCCCTACACTGCTAGGATGGATGATGTGCCACTTTCATCTGTAGGCCTATAGTACAAATTCTATAGATGCACTCTCAAGACATTACACTATCCTGCCAGACTTTACAAGGCTTAATAACAAATTAAAACAAACAACTGAGTGCCACCTCAATTGTTACTATATTTAGATCATCAAATTTAGTTAGTGATGCTGAGGACTTGTTCTCTTACCTGGTGATGTTGCCCTTGCCTAGTGGATCATTAGCTTTAAACATGTGTCTCACACCATAAAATCCTGTTGTTAATTTATCTCTTACTTTATCTACCAGCTGAAATAAGCAAACAAATTGTACCTTCTGGGCCCTATTTCCTACCAGACTAGAACGGTTCGGACAATACATATTTAGGAACAAGGAAATGCTGAAAGTTGCGAAATGTCATTCCAAATTCAAGCAGCATTCACTTCTTTTCAATAAAAGACATACCTCTGTTCCTGGGGTTCCCTTTAGAAGTGTTGGTTGGCGATTAACATATTTATAACCTGGTTTCTGGTAATCTGAAATGGACAAGGGCATTGTTATAAGATTGAAGGTCATTGGTTTTGATTTGATTATAGAGATGTTCGTTGTAAGGTATGTAGGGTTGCTGTTACTTTCCTTGATGTGATAGCATTGTGTACAGGTTTAAAGTTAGGGAGTGGAAAATTGGTTATCATACTGTTGATCAAGTTACGGCATAATCCACAATGTTCCATGCTGCATAACAATGCAATTTAAATTACATTATTTCAGTTCATTTACAATAGATTTGAAATGCAACAACCGTTATATACTCTTGAGACACGATCTTACATTCCTAATTACTTAATCAATTCCTTCTTTTAATCAATAAAAAGTAATAAGTCTGATTACCTAATGGCCAGTGTAGAAGTCGAGAATCATCATTCATATAATATCTTCTGTCCTCACCAACTCTATCTACCTGTCCTTTATCTACAAACGATATGGTCTTCTCTCTTCTTAATACTGGTGTGGACACACCACGAACTGATAAATCTCCACATGGTTCCCTACCCGACATTGGATGTGGAATAGTTGGTACACTTGGTGTCCGAAACATTGGTGACCACGGTCGATTCCTTAAAGATGATATCGCCATATTTGGTAAATATCCTTATTATCCCTGTCTGACTATATTGTATATGTAAACTTAATGAAAATACCCTACATTTACTCAAGCTATTAGCGTTGCTCGGCAATCAGTACACAAACAGTAATAGTTTTACCACATAAAGAACCTACATCCTAACATCAGTCTAACTACCTAAATATCGATTACTATTTCCACTACACGTAGATTCCACTCAGGTAAAAATATTGGAAAATCAGGGAAATTTCTCGGCTCCAGTAAGAAATATGGTTGACAATGACATAAATAAACAGTACATAGTAACTGGGGGTACTGTATTGACTGTTGATAATACTAGATATTATAGGTATATGCCTATAGATAAGGTTCATTTATAGTAGTAATCATTGTTAAGGTACAATATGGTATTCTTATCACGTCTACATTACTATACTCAAAACTAACATTCTTTAATTGTTATTTTATATTTCTATTCACACATTTATATATACCTTGGTTATGGAACATGAATTACAAATTGTCCTTTTTTTTTTACCTTCGCCACGTATCAATATATTAGTCAAACTGGTTCTACTTCATTTAGATATTCCTTCGTAATTTGCAGCTAAATTAAATGTAAACAAAATATCACATTCAGAAATAATTTGTAGGGTTAATTTGTTAATCTATGTTTGTGTTAAGATTATTCCTAATAGGGCCTACTAAGATAATCAGATAATCTTTCCGAGCTTTTCCTTAGCGTGTGCATGTATGGGCATGTTTGAGGTATAATAAAATATCAATTAGTAATAGTAGGACTAATAATATAGGCCTATTCTGTTCTATTTTAGTTTATCCTCCATTCAAAACTGCCCAGAAATGTTGCAAGCTTGAATTTGTCGTTATTCAGTTAATTCTAATTCTATTAAAGACTTTATCTTGACAATCGGCTACACGCTTGTTAATGTGTTCCCGTTTAGTTCTCATAACTCGAGTTGCTTCCCTTCTACTATAAAAATGATCTTGATGTGGGAGTAGGTATCAATTTACTTAAAATATTTTGAAATATCTATTCATCCTATGGAAAAACATGAATAGCATAAATTGTGTACAAAGATGTGCATCAAAATAAGACAAGTTTTTAACAATTCTTGAAGCCTGTCTCATACCCCACCCTCCTTAAATATAATTTAACAGTAAGGTAAAAGAGACATAACTTATTGTAAAATATTGTATCATTAGCCGATTGCCGTGATGTTTATGGTAAACGCACTGGCTATTTGCACCGACACGATGCTTGTTCTCTATGACTGCTAACAACGGTACGGATAAGAAGCGTGAAGCCATTTTGATTGTCAAGAATGATATTAAGTGACTTTGTAAGGGTTAGGTAGGGATGGTCATATGTTTTTTAATGCCAGTTTTTGTACCAGCCTATTGTAAATTACTTGCATTAGGTTTTGCACTTTTAATGATAAAATATCATAACGTCATTGCTCGAGGTTGTTGGAATTGAACGTTTGCCTAACTTCTTTCTCCCATATGATTTAGATTTTTGTCCACCTTTCTGATGTTTTGAAACATTGAATTATTTATTTCATAGTTATGCAGAAAAGCACCATTCTGCTCTGTGATTTGACTGGTTTTCATTATTACTTAAAGATGATATACAAGGATGCGAATTTCCAACGGTCCAATATTTTCGTTCGCTATTATCGAGTTGTTTTTCATGAGTTTAGAGAGAAAAGTACATCGAGTGAACGACCGTCATACATCCGTCACAGTCTTATCCATCATATTATGCTCGTTTATCAGATGTATATCATAGAGTGTGAAGATGAGTCTTGATGTTATTGAATTATATTGTGTAGGTAGACCATGTTGTTAGTTGTTGAAAATATAATTAGACAGTATAGCAATATTGACTAACTCAGACAAACCATGAAATATTTACACTTTTTATGATATAATTTCCCTTTCATACAAGTTTTTACTGGATTAGTAATTACATTGATCTAACAGAGTGTGGCTGTTTTAAGAGTAATATTTGAAGAGTTCGCTACGAATTGATTTTACCAATAACTAATAAAACCTACCGACATTACCATTAGTTGGTATGTAAATATTACAGTAGTCAGAGATTTCAATCAAGTTCAGTGTCAAACATTTTCTCGATCATATTCTCCATGAACTGTTAATGGTGTATATGTGTTGGGGAAATTATTTAGAATTTGGTGTTTGCCTCATTTAAATCCTATTAATCATCTCGTCTATCAAATTATAGTTGATTGTTAACCCCAGTTTGATTCTTCCTTACAATGAAAAGGAATTAAAGTGGTTTGTGTTATATTGGAAACGCTTCTATGATTTCAGTGATTTCTAGAGTTGGCTAGAGAAAACCCTGTTATTACTCTCAGTCGATATTCTCATCTGGTTTCTCACAAAGTAATTTGTCAGCAGTGAACACTATCAAGTCTCCAATTGAGTAATCAATGAAAAATGACCTTTATAACAACTCAAAAACCTTTCAATGTTGACATGAAGTCATAGATTAAATACGAGATGATGTATTACTTTATTACTAGAAATTTGGTTTTAAAAGATTACAACCTCAAAAGAACAAATTGAGATAGAATAGTCGATATATGGAACTCGTCAGAGTGGAGCCATAGGAATTGAAATAATATTCTAGTTTGATTTTGTTTAAAATGTTGAAGTATTCATCTCTGGAGGTTTGCACAAATCGTACTCCCACATTTTTACGGTTTTAATCACTTAAACCTGGTAAACCTATTAGATGAATGGGTTCTTTATGTGAAGATTTAATCACGGGACAGTGGCGTTTCTACAGCGGAATGGTGGAGGTTTAGGAAGGTAGCCCCCCCCCCCCCCCC